TTTTGCATTTTGTATTTATCAAGGATTTACTACCTTTTATATTTTCATCATCTGAACCTTCTGTACTTGTTTCTCAGTAATAATGATATCAATTTTGCTTTTTCACTAGATAAGTGTGTAGTATTTCATTACTACAATTATTGTCATGTGTGCTTCTTCTGGAGCACATCATTGTAATATCTATATGATCTCATATTATCAGTGTGATCTTATCATCAGATATCTTCTCTTAGACTCATATAATATATTGAGAAATCATTTCTTGTGATCACTCATACTGGTAGCTTTTGATACCACTTTCTCAAATTGACCAATTTTCTAATGATAGCTTCCGGTACCACTTCATCATTTTAATTTATCATAACGTGGTAGCTTCAAGTATCACGATATTATCATTATGTGGTAGCTTTTGGTATCATACGGTAACTTCTGGTACTATTTCATCAATTTTCGTTACTCCATAAATTTGGAAAATTTATCAACTATTTTTCAGGATCATGTTACTCCATATAATGTCCTTTCACGATCAGGACTTTATTCGATTTTCACATGGCCAGATACGAAGTATCATTTATTTCATTCATCGGCTATCACTTAATTTGTACTGCCCGTCGTCGGTGGCAGAGCCGCACTGGCCGACCCATGTATATATAGCCATTCATATCCGTCTATATGTATATTTGTTGCACATGGCCTTATCATCTGGCCATTCCCTATCACCGGTTATCATTATTCAGTACACTAACCGGTTCAGTTAGTTGTTCAAATCTTATTTCGGTGGATACACTGTCTGGCCATTTCACATATTTTTCATATTTCAACAGTTGACCCGTCGGCTACCATTAAATATCACCTTCGGCTGTAGAGCCACATTGGCCTGTCTATGTAGCCACACATATTTATTTTCATATCACATGGGTCAATTCATAGATTTCCACATGTTACCGTATTGCAATAACCAATCCATAAGTATTCGCCAATATGCCAAAATAGTTCCGCAGCAACAAATTAAAACTTAAATATTTTATGATAATAGTCTATCTTATTTTATTAAATCATATCAATATTGGTCTCTGAATAAAGCTCTCATTACCCCAAGCATTATGATATTAGCAAAAATTAATTTCACTAATGCGTGCTTGAAATGTGTAACAAACAATGATATTTGTATAGAATACATCATGTATTAAGTAATGTTTTCTTCATCTAATAATTGTTAATATGCATTTGGTTTGGTGGGTTTCATAGACTTGGAACTTGCAAGTGAATAGTAGTTGAAATAATGTTAATTTAATGTATCTAAATTTAAAAAAAAAATGAGAAATGAAAGTTGAATTTATTAGATGATGAGTTAGTACATTGCATTTCTTTTGTTTAGTAGTTGAATTTATTAAATGAAAGTTGAATTTATTAAGTGAAATGGCTAAAGGTAGAGCATAAAAATTCAGAATTTCCCCCATGAGTGATACGAAAAATTGGTTGGAAAAAAGTAACGATTGTAACAATTAGATTTCTGATACGGAAGATCGTCTCTAAGATGCAACCGTAGAGCATACTCTCGTCATATTACAAACCGAGTTCTAGAGGGCAGAGACTCGTGCTGATAACGTGTTATAAAACTAGAGAGAAAGAGAGATAATAGAAAAAATGTTTTCTCTTAGGTACGATTTTCATTATAACTGAAACTCCTGTTTATAGGAAACTTCTGGTGGCACAACTGTAATAATATAATTACATCAGGGACAAAATAGTCATTCACATACATTATTTTATAAATATTTCACAACAAGTATATACTTTTAAAACTTTATGAAGGAGATGGGGAAATCGCATTCGCATCTACTTTGGGAGTCGGCATTTTGAAATCATGTTCATTTGCCAATTCAATTCTCCCTCCCTTGATTGTCTATAATCTCTGTGTTGATCACCTATTTTTAGGCAGTTTGATTATCTGAAAAACCTAACTGCCATGGGAGAATATCGTCCCGCATCTGTTCATCTTGCTTTAGGCGGTGGTTCAGGTATAATTTACACTCAAATTGTAAGATTTTTGATTCACATATGAAAAGGTTTATCAAATATTTTGCTATCCTTCGGATCCTATTATTTGTTTCATTTAGGGCTGTTCATCAAGCATAATTATTTGTTTCGTTTTTCTACTTTTATCATGTTTATGCAGTTGCTGATGTGTTGTTGTGGAGAAAATGGCGTTGTAGCGTCACTTTCCTTGTGGGCTCAACTGCTCTTTGGATCCTATTCGAAATCGCTGGATACAATTTGTTATCCTTCGTTGCAAACGTTTTATTGTTGTTGGTCGCAATATTGTTTTTCTGGGCTAAATCGGCATCGCTTCTCAATAGGTTGAGTGATTTCTCGATTCATATTGAGTGATTTATGCAGTTGCTGATGTGTTATTGTGGAGAAAATGGCGTTGTAGCGTCACTTTCTTTGTGGGCTCAATTGCTCTTTGGATCCTATTCGAAATCGCTGGATACAATTTGCTATCCTTCGTTGCAAACGTTTTATTGTTGTTGGTCGCAATATTGTTTTTCTGGGCTAAATCGGAATCGCTTCTCAATCGGTTGAGTGATTTCTCGATTCATATTGAGTGATTTATGCAGTTGTTGATGTGTTGTTGTGGAGAAAATGGCGTTGTAGCGTCACTTTCTTTGTGGGCTCAATTGCTCTTTGGATCCTATTCGAAATCGCTGGATACAATTTGCTATCCTTCGTTGCAAACGTTTTATTGTTGTTGGTCGCAATATTGTTTTTCTGGGCTAAATCGGCATCGCTTCTCAATAGGTTGAGTGATTTCTGGATTCATATTGTGTTCGTTGTGTGTATTTTTTTCTGCTGTTGGGATGTGCTAATGGTTGATCTCTATGCTGTAATATTGTGTTTGATGTTTATTCATCTTAGTTAAGGGTATTGAAATGTGGTATATCTGGTGGGTTACTGTATATCCTATTTTAATTATTAGAATATAGTTTATTTTGTTTTTGGCAGAATTACGATTCTAGTCCTGTTGGTGTGATCCAGTGGCGTTTTTTAGTCCTAAGAATTTAACATTCTTGCTATTTGGTCATGTGATTTTAAAATTCAATGCAATTTCAATCCTTTGGGACTGAAAATGCAACAAAATTTAAAATTACAGGACTTAAATTGCTTATAAAAAATTCTTTTGGATGGATTTTTTATTAGCAGTTTAAGTTTAAGTCCTGTAATTTTAAATTTTGTTGCAATTTCAGTCCCCAATTTAAAATTACAGGATCGAATGACAAAAAATTGAAATCTTGGGACTAAAAATGCTACAACGTTAAACCAGCAGGACTAAAAATGTAATTTTGCCTTTATTTTTTTATGGTGAAGTGTGTTGAATAGATAAATGAATGAATCCTGTATGTGATCTTAGACCTCTGCCACCTATTCCTAATCTTGAAGTTTCTGAGGAGACTGTCGTAAAAGCTGCTGATGAGATGCGAGTTTGGGTAAACTATGGATTATCAATTGCTCATGATATTGCAATAGGTGGAAATTTGAAGCTCTTTTTTCAGGTATTGTGATTCATCGACTATGTGTTCATTTTTTGTTGTTATTGGTGCTGATGTTATTATTTCATGCAACTCTAATGTTGGCCTCGGTTACTGATTGAGGAGGAATACTTTGTGATGTGATTTCCGCTAATTAGGTTGCTATTGGCTTGTGGATCGTTTCTTACCTCGGAAGTTTCTTCAACTTTCTTACACTGCTTTATGTTGGTATGTCCTAATTTTCTTGAGTTTTCATATATCTTAATGATTACATTCTGTTTAGTTCTTGTTGGAATTTAAAATATCTCTTTGTTGTTAAACAGGTATTCTTCTGAGTTTGTCAATACCTTTGTTGTACGAAAAGTACCAAAACCAAATTGATGAAAAGCTCGGTGTTATCTATGATATAGCTAAGGCGCAATGCCGCAAAATTGATGATAAAATACTGCAAAAGATTCCATTGCCCTCAAACAAGGAGAAGAAGACCAAGTAGCCTTATGGTATTCTTTTGCTTATTACGTGTTTTTGGACCGTCTTAGTATTCAATTCTTTGTCACTTCCGTATGAATCTGTTTTTCCGAAATCATCTGCCGGTGCAGATTTCATATGCTCGACAATGTCATTACTGACCAGTATATCATTTATAATTTTTTCCTTGCTGCAACATGCTTAAGCGCGGCCAATTGAGGTAACACCAAACTGTAGATAATTCTGGATGATAACTATATTATCTCAACGAAGACCATATTGTTCCCTATATTTTAATTCAAAACGTGTTGGTCCTAAGTGACAGCTTCTCACACTTCGATATTGACATGACGAAAATCTATGCTTCGTGATGATTTTATATTATTTTTACTCTGGAGTTAGATTTGGTATTAAACATCAATAACTTTAATTATATATTTCTTAACTCAACACCCATGTTGTACGTGAGTATTTTACTAGTTTAAATATTAGAGAAAGGTACAATTTTTCCTCCACCATCATTTGCCAACATCTCAAATGGTATATTGTTCATTTGGAAATGTATAACATGGAGAAAGAAAATTACAAAATTTTGTCTCCAATAATTATCATAATTTGGCAAGCGTAAAATTATAATCGACTATAGCTACAAAAATGTTGAAAGAAAAATGTCAAGATTTAGATCATCAAAGAGAACCAACTCTTCGGACGTTGGTTCTTGCATTTGTATTGGTTCTTGCATTTGTATCCTGCCCAGTAAAGCAAACTCCAGAACAGGCTCCATGTAAAACTATGTCAAAAAATGGGGTATAAACTGAAGAAGTTTCCTTCACTGTAACTAGCACAAAATCTACGCTGAGATGAGAATCTCACTTACACATCCCAGTCATAATTTCCTGCTACATTCATCGCATCACAATTGTGAAACACACAGATAGCTACAAGATAAATAGGTATTGGAATTTAAGAGTTGGTATTTCACGAGGCAACAGAACCAATAATTTAAATCTCCATCGACTGTAAGCCCTTCGACGATTTCTGTTTCGATTTTTTCTTTCTCGTTTTATCATCCTTTCTCTTAGGCTTCTTGTCGACAGCAGGCTGTGTATTCTGCAAATGCTGATAAATGGCACCTAAAGGATCTGATTGAAATATTGGATGATTTATAACAGTCTTTAGCTGGTTACCCTCTTTCAGCCTGAGAAGCAATAAAGTGCCCAAGTAAATAATATATGATAGAATAATAATTCCCAAGTACTATATAATTTGGTACTCACACCAACTTATTTCTTGTTTTACTGTTGATTTTGAGTTCGGCAGGCTTCGACTCCGAGGGAGAATTTACTTCAGGTAGGTACTCAGAGATGGATGATAGATCATAAGCCTTTAATCTCTTTTGACGGCTTCTCTTCTTTTGCTGCTTTTCCTGGTTGCAAAAAATTACTTTGCTTTTAAGAAAACAATGGCATAACCATACACAAACAAGATACGGGCAGCCAATTATATGCAGTGATTGAACTTTGATTATATGCAGCCAATTAAGCTTAAAGGAAAACGTCGTTATCATATACCATGATCTTGGAGCTCGAGCAAGAAAAATACCTTAGAAATAGCTTTCTTCGCAACTGCACTCCTGACCACTGGAAAAAACATAATAATAACCCTCATCAATATATTCATTTTTTTTCTATAAACATTAAGCAAAGGTATACAGTATTTAACTTTGATTAAATCCATGAAAACATAAAAAAAAAATAAGGAATAAGTTCAATTTTAAAATATTACATGGGCAATGGTGCCATAAAAACGCATACGAAATTGACACGTCCATTAATTATTATCCACAAGCGGGTACCCAAGTGACAATGTGATTAAAATTTCAACAGTTTTCGTTTTGAATAACTAACAGAAAACAAAAACTCTAGCAACAACAAAAGGCGAATGCTTACAGTCATAAAATTGCATTTTCTTTTCGAACTTGAGGTCCGCATGAGTCTTGCCATCCGATCTGAAAATATCACAGAGTTTAATCATGAGCATAGACCAATCAAAAACATTTCGATTAAATTTGATGTATTTGACACAGGAATTTTTTCCCAAGTAATTTTACCGAGAGCTGGTTTTCCCCATCAGCTGAATCTTCTTTCGTTACTGCGCTTGTGTTCTTGTACATAAACAGAAAATAAGAACACTTCGGAAATTACAAATTCATATATAACCAAGATTAGGGGTGTTCATCGGTCACCGAACAACGAAAACCGAATTAACCGAAATGCTATAAGTCAAAAACCGAACCGATCGAAATGTATGCTTAAAACCGAAAATTAACCAAACCGAATTATTCGGTCGGTTCGGTCAATTAACCGAAATTTTACAAAAAAATAATTTTTTAAAGATTGTTTAATGGGCTCAAACCGACCAATTTTTATATTTGGAAAAACAAAGTATGCTGGAACTTAACAATATGCCAGATTCTAAAACCACAACCCACCAGGCATGACACTTATCAGTTTTATTTGAATTTCAAATGCATAATGATACGAATTCATTTCTCGTGAACAACATAACATGGACAAAATTGAAAAAAAAAAAAAAAAAAA